AATGAACAGCACATGATCTTGAAGGAAACGATGGCATGAACCTTCTCATCTCCTAAATGTCCTGTAATATGATCAACAAGAAGCTGAAACTGAAGAGGGTTTGAAGAGCTGCTTCCAACACGAAGTCCAGACACAAAGACAACATACTTGTCTTCTCCTGCATGCAGACAAATTAAAATTAGTGAAAAAAGAAAATTGAGGTAAAGGTAATAGTGAAAGATACTAGAACATAAATACCAGAGGAAATGAGAAACTAAATACAAGACAATTACTAAAACTTAAAAATCAAAGTATATGAGGATCGAACAACAAATAGAGACTTCTGTTTTTCTTTTAGTTTCTTTATGAGCATAACATTGTAATTTTATAGAAACCGAGAAAACCTCAAGAAAGTTCAAAAGGGACTAAAAGCAAAGACTTTCCAATTTATACTCAAAGGTTTCAAGTTATATTTCCTGTGAATTTAGCTCCTCTCTAGACATATTATCTTTATAGCCAATGTTGTCTAACATATTTCTGCATAAATTCGACCTTTTGTTGTTTAGCTTCTCTCTAATCATCTCTCACCAATATAAGATGAAGGTTTAAAGAAACAAGTGGCCAAGCACAAACTTTACAGAAAAGAAGAAAAATTGCAAAATAAAAGAGAGCCAGGTAAATCAGATTATACTTGATTTAAGTGGCAGCTCTATCTGGGGTGGTAAGCCAGCTTCAAGAACATCTAGGACTAAGAAGTCACCAGCATCAGTCTCCTTTCCGTGCAAACCAACAATACTCCCTATCACCATGTTAATGTAAAATAAGCATGCTTCAATATTAATTTCATATTATAATGTTAAAAAATTTGGACTATTCCCTATCAAAATGAACAATTCAAATGTCATAATTATGCAATCAAAGGAAAGCAAGTAAAATAGGCCCAACAGATTAAGCTTCATGTACACTGAATCAAGACAAAGCGGATTAGAGTTTCCGAATAGCATATGGGACTAAAAGCCACAAGCACTTTATTGCCTCACGGCAGCCCAAAAGACACCAAAATCCCACCAAAAGAAGAAAAAAAAAATTTATATATAGAGCATTTTTCTTTCTTTATTGTAGTATTTTTGTTTGACACAGACCTGTTACATATACAGAAGGTGAAAGCATCCCAGCAAGCTTTACTCTTCCACTTTCATCTTCCAAAACTAGATGGTCATCCGGGTGCACAAAATTATGAGGCTTGACAAGTGGTGTCGTAGATCTCTGTAAAAATTGCAATATTGTTAGAAGAATTAAAAAAACACTCCATAACTTAATGACCAACACTGCACATGTACACTACCGTCTTAGAGTACTCATCAAGAATACAAGGTTTGAGTTTCATGTGCTTGTACAGGGTTCCAACAACAATGCATTCCTTGTCCTTTTCCAATCCCAAAACTGTGCAAACTACAACACCATACGGAACGCCTATTATATCAGATTACCATTTTACCAGAAACCCAAATCACTGATACTTCAAAATTAACATAAATGTTTCACTGAAACAAAGAGCATTAACATAAACATGAATGAAAACAAACATCCTAAAAAGTAGACAAAAAGATACTGCCTTGATTCTAACCCAATGGCATGTACTAAAAGTTGACCCTCATGTAAATCAATAACCAAAATACTAAAGGGGAGCTGTCATTGGCACTCCAAAATAGTCAGTCTGCAGTTCCCCCTTAAAATTTAACTTTTTAAATATCATTTTTATAGGGTGGAGTACAGGATGACTGTTTTGGAGTGTCAATAACAGCTCCCTAAAAGTTCTAACTTTCTGCACATCCCACCCCTAATTTTAACACTGAGAAATTTTGGATTGCATAAAAAAAATAAAAAATAAAGACAACAATAAGATAATCAGAGCAAAACCAGAAATTTTAACGAATTATGGGAAGCCAATTTTCTTCTACAGGTAGCCAATTGAAAGACAAACCTACAAGCCATCAACTAGAACCCACATTTCCTTTTTTTTTTTCTTTTTCCGGATACTAACAGTGCAGAACAACATGTAGCAGGAAAACCGAAAACTAAAATTGAACAAATGCTGAAACAATTACAACAATTGAGAACCTGGTAAATGGGGTTTCCAATTAGGGACAAGGGAATAGAGGAGGGTCCTCATCATATGGAGACGTGCAAAGTATATTTGGCTGTACTGCTGACCCCTGTACATCTCTTTCTGAATCTCAAACCTCTCGTCCTAAAATAAACAGAAATAAGAAATAAATAACAAAACAAAAAAAATTGAAAAAAGAAATAGTAAAACAGGACAATTGCTCTAAAACTGTCAGTTGTGGCTGTTAATTGAGTAATGGTTGCTGAGAAATCCTAGAACAAGATATAAATGTCCGGATTGAGCACAAAATTTCTACTTTCCGTTCTTTTCTCGTTTGTTTCTCGGCAACCAAACAAGGCGATGCGAGAAGAAGTGAGGTAAAGTAAATCTTCGAGGAGAGAGAGAGAGAGAGAGAGAGAATACGGACCAGCAAGTTATAGGTGGAATGCTTTCTCTGGAGGTTCTTCTCCGAATCGATTTCCATGGCTTCCATGGCGGGAAAAAAAAAAAAAAGAGAAGCAGAGAATTTTTCACTACTCGCTTTTGGGCTTCGGCTCAGCAACTCAGTAGGGCTTTTTATATGCCCAAAAAACAAATTGTTCCGATAAATTTGCCAAATGTCGCATAAAAATCACAAGGGGATGTAGCTCACATGGTAGAGCGCTCGCTTTGCATGCGAGAGGTACGGGGTTCGATACCCCGCATCTCCACTCACCTTATTTTTCAATCAAATATTTTGTTAACGTACAAATTCTGCTGCCAATATTTGAGAGGAGAGAAGTTCTCCAATATTTTTGTTTTGTCATTTTTTAAAAAGTTCATGACAAGTTAAAATAAGGGTTAGCTGAAGTGGCCACTTCTTCTTTTTTTTTCTACGTTTTAAATATATCATATTCAAATAGTACAGCCGCGCGGCTATACGTGGTTCATTGTTCACTACAACAACCTTATTGATGAATTAGTCGAGAATGGGATCACACCCTATGTGACCTTATTGATGAATTAGGAAGGAAGAGGGGGGTGGTTACACACACATCTAAGGGTGTCACAGGGGTTCGAATTTGAGACCACTAGTTTGCAAACTAAGACCCTTTTTTTACTGGGTTAGACCCCGTTGACAAGTGGCCACTTCAAAAAGACTAACTAAAATAACTTTTTAGGGAGGAAAAGCTAAACGAAAGAAGGAAAATCCATTAAATCTAATGACCCATATTACACAAGTTAACAATCTTACCACAATATGAGGCTTTGTATTTAGTTTATCTCCAAGAGTCATTGCTAATGGTCAAAAATGAGAGTAAAGGCTGAGTACTTTCGTTAAGGAAGTTTGTTGGGTTGTAAATGTTACAACTTTATATAGTAAACTAATAACCTTATACGTGTCAAAATTCCATTTGTTTTGAAGAGAAATTCTTCTTCAGTTTTAAGGAGCCAAACTTATTTCAATTTGAAAATGGTTTGAAAGCAACATTCTCTTAATAACTACGTACCAACTACCAACTAGCATTAATTTGGTGATCTTTCTATATGGACTTTATGAAAAGAGCTCTCACGATTAGATTCACTTATGCTAGATTAAAATGTAGAAAATTAACATGATTATGTTATCATTTCCTTTTAAATATGTTATTAATACTTTTTAAAATGATACATATTTACTTTAGCATTTCACAGGCGTTGGTTTGGTAAAGCCAAATAAGTGATGGTGGGTATCCGCTTCAATTGACAAGACAACAAGTACAAATTTTCCGGTATATGATGACCAATGGGGTCTAAAATTTCTTACCTTTATAGCTTGTTTGCCCTGTAATGTCATATACTTAATGGAACAGTCGAAAGCATGAATAAGATTTATAGGACATGTGTTAACATCTAACACGCAAATTATGTGAATTTTGAAAGAAGTCGACAATTCATTCTAAAATTATTAATTGGTAATGGAGAAATAGTTTAATTTTTTGTAAGCTCATCCAGTGGCGTGTCCAGGAATTCTTTCAAGGAGGGTCAACATTATTAGCTTGAGAAAATCGTGAATATTAACATATTTTTTTTTATTGTATAATTTAATTGTTATCTTCCAAAATCATAACCCGCATCGCTGAATCAAATCATAATACATTGCTTAAAAGAGAACTGAATAGCTAGTGTTGAAAGATTTACTTGACTGATGGCCGATGATTCAATAACAAAAACTATAAGAGAACTCAATAAATGAAAGAATAGAAAGATTGAAGTTAAAAAGAAAAAATAGAGTAAAGATAAATATAGGAAAAACTATAGAAGTAAAGAATAACAATTAACTAGAGTTAGAAAGTTAGAAGGGTCATCTATAAAAGAAACCCAAGAAAATCAAATATATCACATAACAAATACATTTATTGCATAAATTGGAGGAGTGTCAGCTAACCCTTGTGGGTCTTAGCTGGCTCCGTCATTGAGCTCATCCAAGGTTTATTAACTTACGTAACACGTAGACAACACATATTAAATGACGTAGAATATGTGTGGTCGCTAACTTCTAATGTGGGACATAATTCTTCATTGTACATCATCACAAAATGCGTATCTTATTCTTATCCACGGTCAAAAATTACCAACACGCATTGAGTGGAATTAACTTGGTAAATCCTTACAGCCTTCTTATCCACCTAGGTAAATATGTTTTTTTTGGTCGTTATTAAAGATTTTTATGTTTCACACAACCCACATGACCAAAAAGAAGGAAAGAAAAAAAAAAGGAACGGTAACAAACTAACTGTCAAAACGCATGCCGCAGGCCAAAAAACTCAGCGGCAGGACAAGCAGCCGCCGATTCCGATTCGCCAACAAATTCAATCAAAAATTGAAAAAGACCAAACAAGATAATAGATGGATATTAGTATTATTTTGAAAATGACGAAAACACCCCTCTATCAGACACACACACAGAGAGCCTTCCCACTTCCCTCGCACCCTTCAACCACCCACCTGTCTCGTCCACTCCTTACTATATCAGAGTCAGACGATTCAAACCCAGCCAGCCCTGCTCTCTTAATTCTCCCTCTCTCTCTTCAATGGCGTCCGTTCAGAGCCAGCTCTCTGCGATTGCTTCGATTCACTCCTGTTGTTCGTCGTCGTCTTCATCGTCCTCGTCCTTCTCTTCAACCACCACCACCACCACCACCACTTCACTGGTCCCCGTCGGAAAGTGGCCGCAGTATGGACGGAGAATCTCTGGGGACCGGAGACTTCGACTCCGGCGATCCCTGTGCCGATCAATGGTTCAGCAGGCCGTTCCCGGAGCTCCTGCCGCGTATGCTAAGGAAATGGAGAGGCTTTCAGCAAAAGAATCTCTGCTTCTTGCCGTGAGTCTCAGCAATTTTATCGTCTTTTTCATATACGATTCTCTTAATATATATGATTAATGTCAATTAAAAGAGAAATTGATAGCTTTATGCACTGATTAGCTATTTTGGAAGTGGTAATGTGAGAATAAGGCAAATGTAAGGCTCTGTTTGGTTGCCATTTTCAGTACAAAATTCGCTTTCTCCTGAGCTAGGAAAGTATACATGCGAACTACAACAGTGCTTAAGTATTAAAATTCAAATTAATATCGACCGTGGCATCATGATCTCCATTCAAATTATTTGGTACCTTTTTTTTTTTTCTGAAATTCTTTGACTTGTTTTGAAACCCTTTGTTTCAGTTTAAGGATGCTGGGGGTTTTGAGGCTTTGGTCACTGGAAAGACAACAGACATGGAGCGGATTGATGTGAATGAGAGGATAACTAGTTTGGAGCGGGTCAATCCAACACCACGTCCTACAACGTAGGCACATATCTAAACAATGCAATCACACAATTTTTTCTTTTGGTTTGGATGAGATGTTCACTTGTTTGTTCAGCTACCCAGGTCGCCTTTTTTGGAAGGTCGATGGAATTTCGAGTGGTTTGGATCAGCAAGCCCAGGTCTATTTGCCGCTAGATTTATATTTCAGTGAGTGCTGCATACATTTACCTTTTTAATTGTTGGATTGGTTGAAAAAAAAAACCTGGTTTTAAATTTGAACTGAAAGGTAGCTAAATGTATTGATGCAATCTCTCTGTTGCTGCAGGAGGTTTCCTTCAACTTTGGCTAGTTTGTCAAAAATGGAGGTGGTCATCAAGGATGGGAATGCAGAGATTACAGCAAACTTTAAACTGTTGAACTCGGTATTTATTTTGTCTTTTGAAGTCCTCAGTCCATGGAATGCTTTCATATATATGATGAAGCACTCAGGGTAAATACTGCATTTGTCACATCTCCATGTGAAATCGCAGCTCCAATACAATATGTTATGGATATTGAACTTAAGTGGGTCATTATTTCTGTTGTAGCACTAGTGCTTGGTTAGGGCAAGTTGGGTCGTGTTTGCATTAGAACTGTGGCTTGCTTGTGCGTTCTGTTTAGGTACAACATCACAAGATCAGCCAGTCAATCTGTGTGAACTATTTTGCATCTTGTTTTTGTCATTTTTCTTGGACTCTTAGGAAACCTAGCAATTATTTGTGTTAGTTCCACCTCTCAATAAATGCAATTAGTATGATTATTGAGGGAGAGAGAAAGAGAAGTAAATTTTTAGTCTGATAGTATTTTCTGTGATAACAAATAGTCAAGGCATAATCATGATTCAGACATGGTGTTACCTATCATTTCTCGGTTTCCACCTCCTATTTTTGTGCTCTGTTTGAATTTTGTTGATGTAACTTTTTATGAGCATTCATTATAAAGCATATTCTGGTTCTTTGCAGATAGAAAGCAAATTTACTCTGTCAACCAGGTTATCTGTGGAGGGACCAGTTCGAATGAAAGAGGAATATGTTGAGGGAATTCTTGAGACACCAACAGTTATTGAAGAGACAATACCAGAACAGCTAAAAGGTGCATTTGGTCAGGCAGTGAGCACAGCGCAACAACTTCCTTTTCCTATTAGGGATGCCTTTTCCAGTGGGCTGAAAGTTCCTTTAAGTAAGTGTGATCTTTTTCTTACCCAGTTATTCTCTTATCTGAGTTGCATAGTTGAATCTTAAACTGCAATCAACCCTTTTAATATCTGCCTCTGTTGTGGTCTGGTACCACGTATTGAGACAGTATATGAAATTTGGGAAAACTTAATATTTGGGATAGAAAGATGTTTGTGAATTATTTTCAAGTCTATGAATCACTCCAGTCAACTCCTATAAATCCATTGTCAGAAGAATATCTGCTCTGCTGTGGCCAAGTACTATGTAAGGGAACAGTTATGAAATTTGCAGAACTGACTATTTGGAATTAAAAGATGCTAAGATGCTTGTAAATTCTTTTTTGTCTATGAATCCTAACCTCCTGCTTGATGATTTTACCATGTGTTACTGTTTTCATAAGCTCTCTACCTTTGGCAACTTTTGCTGTTTTGACATTGCAGCAACCAGCCATTTTGTCTTTGTAGATTGATCAAATATTCCTGCTCTCCCTTCTGTAAATCTAAGGGTGTCGATGGTATACCTGGGGGTACTAGTTGAGACTTGGTTAAACATCATATGCAACATCATATGCCCACCATAAATTTTCTGAAAATGTTGTTACCATTCTTTGAGGCATCTATAAATTATAAATTCAGAACATGGTATCTTTGCTAATCTTTCCTTTTACAAGAAGATAAGTTTTCCTTTTATTTTCATATTAGTTAAATTTACATAGGGGTTAAAAGAGCTATAACATTTGCTTTTCTTGAAACATGAACGCTCTCTTTTTTCCAACCTCCTTTTGTGTCTATTTTGGGAGGTGAGGTAAGGTAAATGATTAAATACCCAAGTCTCAAAGGGCACAGTCATTGATGACCTTGGTAGTGGTTTGTGTTATGATTAGGTACCTCAAAGGAGGTTTTTCCATCTACAAGATTCTGCAGCTGTTAGGTTGAGTATATAGTGAGGTATTGTGTCAACTGTGAGGTATCTTAAGGTGTTGCTACTTAGCCAGCTACAGTTTATTCTTGATATAATTATAATTTGTCATATAACCATTAAGTGTCCCATGTTACTCTCTCTTGGTTTGAACCTTTTTTGTTGGTTGGTTGCCTTAAAGTGTTCTGGAGGATGAGGCTTAGGACCCATAACCAGAGAGTTGATCTTATAATTCAGATTGAAACATTGTGACTTCAAAAGCTGCAGATATTTTATGTTTTGTTTAATTAACAATTTTACCACTCAGATGTGTCTCGAATGCAGTTTTCAAATTCCCACCCTTGCTCTTTCTTGCATGTTTTATTTGTTTGCAGCCTAGAATCCAGAATATTAAATGGTTAGATACAATAAATATATAATTTTCTCATCACTAAATTCAGTCATAAAAATTAGTGGAAGCGATCATCTTAGATGCTATGGGATTTTGCGCATATGTGATGATGCTTTTTCATTTTTCGATGTATGTTTGTAGTAGCATATGCCGACCCTGCTAAATGCTCCATCCAATATGATAAAAAGAAGCAATTTGTCTTCCGAACCTTAGAAAATATTACCTTCTTATATTACTTTTGCCTCTATGCTAACTTAGCTCTCATTATGAACCCATGGCAAGTGTTTACTGCTTTATGCTTGCCTAGTTTTATTTTTTTTCACTGTTGTTTGTACTAGTGTATGCCGCTCCCTGCTAATATTCCATCCAATATGATAAAATAAAGCAATTTAACTATTCACTCCCATCTAATACTGCTTTATCTCATTCTTGCCTCTATGCTTTACCTTGTGTCTGCAGCTGGAGCTTTTGCGAGACTCTTCATGATTTCATATCTAGATACAGAGATACTTGTAAGTATCCCACTGAGTATTTTTTCTTCATAATTCAGTTCTAATTTGTTACCCGTAATGATTAGCTGAATTAGATGACTACCTAAGTAATTAATCTGCTTAGTCTTGCCATATCAAACTTGGTGGAACTGAAAACAGCTGTACAATTTGAGTTTTAGATTGTCTTCACAAAAATATAGCTAAATTTAGTTAAAATCTCTTGCATGTAGGCAATAGTTTAGGGACGAATGAAGTTTCATTTTTCCTTGGGGGCATCTGTTTTGTTTTCATCATTTGTAGTAGAAACTTTTCTAAATTTCTAAAGTACATTCTTAAAGAGGGTTAAACTCATAAGGTGCATGATGTATATTTTGCCAAAAGATATATGATGTATTTGGAATCCATTATTTTCCCTAGATCACCTTGACCTTTTCATTAGTCCGATGTTTGTGCATGAATAATATTCATAAATAAAGTCAACAGTTCATAAATAAAGTCCACGGTAATGCCTTTTGCTGAGCTTGTTATTGTATTTTGTGATTATCTTGGATTTAATAACAGATGAAATAGGTTTACATTTGCTCCCTTTACCCTTGACCTCCCTTTACCCTTTACAATTTATAAGTGTTTTACCTCTGACAATTAGAAGTCATTTCACCTTTGTCTCTCTGTTGTATTATTATATGAACCGACTCTAATATTTCCTCTTAATCAATCTTACTTAGCATGCAAGACTTTCTGACTTTGTTATTCTGACTTTGAACATAGTCTACACACTAACAGATGCACTCTATCTCCCCCACAAACCTTGTTCCCAGAGTCAAACTTAGACATTTGAATCTTGAGCCATTATCTTATAGCTTATACGTGCCAAACTGGCGTAACCATGCTTTCTCCACAACTTCCATACACTTGCATGAAGTTGGTTATGGGTGGTTAGTTGCTTATAACTGTATATGGTTGGCCTGTGGTACTGTCAAAACAAGAAAAAAAAGAAAAAGAGTTGGCCGGTGACTATACATATGAACATTTTCAGGCATCATAATACTAGATCGGCTTTGATCTTTTATTATATTGCGGAGTGGTGGCTTCATATAGGGCGCTGCGATCGGATTTTAAATTCTGCTACTGGGTTTGATGCAGATAATAAGGGATGCAGCTGGAGTTCCTGAAGTACTGACAAGGTTGGATACAGCTTCATCTCCCCTGGAAGAAACCGTCACAGAGTATGAGAGCTAAAGGTTCTTCTATGTATGAAAACTCAAATTTTTTTCTATTTTTTTAGATATTAATTAAAATAATAGTTACACTTCACCTCTCTCTCTCTCTCTCTCTCTCTCTCTCTCTCTCTCTCTTAATGAGATGTTGCTTTTTTTTTTTTTTTTTTTCTTGTTGTCTTCCAAAATTTTCCAAATAATCACCATAAAAATAGGTGACATGTTTTATTTCTGTTAAATTCAAGTCAACGGACCAAAATTGAGTGTGGTTGTTCCTCCAAGTCTTAAGCATATATATAATTTGTTTGCACTTGTGATGATTTTTAGATTCGCTGGATAAGAACAGGGAAAATATTTGTAAATTAAAAGGTTGGTGTGAAGTGTGAACGTGTTTGACTAAAATGCACCACGCTGTTTGACTTTTGATGTGCTCTGCTGTCATGCTTGATTTACGACATGCCGCCACTAAAGCTTGACCTTACATCATTTGGAAGGCCATTTCAATATTTAATTTTCCTTTTCCTTTGGTTTGATTACTTGGTTAGTTGGCTGTGTTTCCCTGTGGCCTTTGCCACTTTGATTAGATTTTTTTTAGGGCTGAGTTGACTGAAAACTTGGGGAACCCTGGAGATGTCTGATATGAAGAGGGTATAGTAAACTGTTAGTAGTTTCATTTTGAAGATTAGAATTATGATGCTAGCATCAGTTGTCCATGTGCGTAGGTGATTGTGGACCGATGATGCATTGTAAGACTCACGTGCATTAACAGGTTGATGCATTGTTGTTGACACTTCAAATTGTAGGAGAAGAAATTGTACAAACATGTTGAATCACGGAAGCTTCTCCAATGAAGGGGCTGTGGTGAGGGGTTGTGTTGAGAGGTTCAATTTGTTCGTCCAATAATAGCTCTGCAATTGATCTGATGGCTATGAAGGATCCCTCATTATAACCCCTCATTACAGCCTCTAGTTCAATCGCTTTAGATTTTAGGCATGTAATTCTAGAGGGATTGACTCTTTGTGTACGGTCGTTTTGGATCAACAACAGATGACACTATTAGAGCATCATAGAGGCACTAATTGTGGTTTGATTAATGGTGTTGCACCTGTCATCTCAATCTAGCTTCATTAACTTATGCTTAACTTGTGGCACCAAGAAATAAGAAATTTTAATATAGCAATTTGCGAATAAGAAATTCACCAAAATTTTTGACTTCTTTGTCAACTATTATTATTAACCTCCTGATGCGAACTTGGGCTTTTTCTATTTTATTTTTCTTATAAATGAAGAAAATAATTTTACAGCTCTTGGTATGAACTTAATATCTATTCATCTCCAATGACGGGTCTAGCGCCTTGACTTGCAAACTTAAGGTCTCAAGTTCAAATTTCCACGGCACCATTGTTGTGTGTGTGTGTGTGAGAAATTTCACTCACTTGTAGTTTAGACTATCCCTTGTACTAAAAAAAACATTTATTCATTTGCTCATGGTACAATTGGTAGGTATGTATGTGTACATACAGACATACATTTATATGTATGTATATATCTTCCGTACATTTGTAGATGGGAATGGGATATAATATACAATAATTTTTAGATTAGTTTATGGGTTTAATAACTTTTATTTATTAATTAATTATTAGCCAACTTGGGAGCAGTTGGTGTTTTTTTCCTCTAAAACAACAAGTGGGTTATGCAGAATTGTGTGTTAAATTTCATGTGGGCAATTAACAATGGAAGTTTCTGAAAAGGACTAACAAAACTTGGAGTTGGAGGAGTGTATCTGGAATTTCCATGCCAACATGATAAGAGAGAGACGACTTCTGTAATAAATGGTGAAAATTAAATTGCAATTAGACTCTTGCAAGAAAAGCTATAAATTTATTAAAATATATAATTTCTACATGTTCCTTATCATTTGGTTTTCCAAACAATAATGCTACTCTTACCGCATTTGCATATTATATTCTCATACCACGTTAGGTGACAGATGAAGTGAACATCCATATTAATTAAAATTAATTTAACATTTTCTTTTCTTTTATGATTTATTGACACTTTTTAATTGATATAGCTGTCCACTTCATCTATCACATAAGTTGGTATGAGAATATTGTATACAAATATGTTAAGAGTAGCATTACTCAACAAGAAATCTTCATTTAGAGAGAGAAACAGAGGCCCCACAACAACAGATACATAAGACAAGAAGGAAGTCCTACATCCAAATGTAAGGAGAGAAACCCTCTTAAATATTATTCAATTTAAAAGCTAAAACTAAAAAAAAACAAAGAAATAATTAAGAAATATTATAAGTTTCTGCAACTTCCAAATGGAATGCAACTGCAATATCTCTGCAGAAAACAGAGAAGCACTCAAAAGTATATGTCTTTAACCCTTGTATTTACATCAAATGAAGAGAGAGAGAGAGAGAGAGCAGAAGAACATCAGAAAATTGGAAAAAAATAATTAAAAAGACATTGATAAGCAAGTAGTACTAGAATTAAGTTAAACTCTCTAAAAATCCAAAGAAATTAAGCAAAATATTTCAGAGAACTCTGAAACTCATCATACATTCTTCTTCTTTTCTTTCTTTTGGTGAGAATCAAACATCAAACTTTAATTTCTGAATTGCTAAATACTTCTAGACAAGTTGGGTTCCTTCAAAACCATGCAGGTGAGAATTTGAGGCATCCAAATTGGGCAGCAGAGGAAATTCACCAAATTCCTGAATAAACCCTTCCAAATCTGCAAATCTCTCCAAGAACCCACCTGAGTTCTCTGCATTCCACATCATCCCTTCTTCCTTGACTCTCTCTCTTGATTGATCCAAACCCATGTACCCAGTTCTCATCAGCTCCAGCTTGTCAGCCATTGATGATGCATTTTTCTTGGGTTCTTCTCTGCTGCTGGGAATTATATTCCTTGGCCTCTTATTCTTCTTCTTGCTGCAGCCATTTTCAGATGGTTTTCCTGTGAGTCTCTGCACTAACTCCCTGAAGTTTGCCACGTCTGTCTTGATGATCTCTGGTGCAAATATGTGAATGATTCGAATTTTGGGCTTGGCTTTTGATATTGTTTGTGAGTCTCTGTGGATGGCTAGTGCTGCTGGTAAATTTGAGCAACAAGTTTGCTTCTTGGTTAATGTCTCCTCCATGAGAACTTAATCGCTAGAGAGAGAGAGAGAGAGAGAGAGAGAGAGAGAGGAAGACAGAGAGAGAGAGGTTGGGAAATGGGGATTGAGGAAGTTGGTGTATATATTTGTTTAGAATGAAGAAGGTGATGCTTATATAGGGGAAAGATTAATATAAAGGGTAGTTAATTATTAATTAATTAAATTGGAAGGACAAATGGGAAAAAACTAAGAAGAAAAACAAAAGAGGGGAAAAAGGCTGTCTTTGGGAGGAGGGGTTGGATGAATCCTTGTCTGGCAAATTGCTAGAGTCAATAGAGTAATTAATGGAACTCAATGGTCCCCTATTTCCCAAATTGGGAATTTCATATACTTATATATGTATTCTGTTGTACTTATTTTATTATATGTTAATGTTTTGTGAGTTTGGGGTATGGGAGGATGTAATGTGAACATGTATGATGTTTTTCATCATACATGAAATTACCAAAACATCCCCATTTTCCATTCAATTTGGAACTTCATTATTAGGATCATCTAATTGTAAAATTTCAATGCATGATTCTCCTCTTCTTTCTCTTCTTGATTGAACCTTGAGAGATGAGTGGTTCAATCATTTAATTAAAGTTCCAATGAAATGGGATTTCAATGTTTAGTTATGAGGGAAGCTTTCATGCAAATTCAAATGTACTTGAGGATTTGCTCCTCCAGGTAAGGTTCTAGGTTCGAGTTCTAGCATCCGTGTTATATCTGTGAGTTTAGTATATTATCACCTCTATCAATAGAAAATATTCTCAAAAAATGTACTTACGGTTTTAAGCCAAAGTAGAAATTATATCAGATTACTATTCTTGTCATGTTAGATGTTAGATGCCTATGTTAGATGTTTGGAATTGATTCAATATCACTTAACGACATCTTTATCTTTTGATACTAAACATCAATGTCATCCCTAACATTATTTTTATTTATTGGACTTCATCAAAACTGTTACATGATCGTGATCGACATTTAAAAAGTACTAACCACATTAATCACGTACTCTTTAAAAATTAATCACACATGTCATGCACAAAAATAAGTTTCATATGGGTAATTATGTCAATAATATGGAAATACAATATCATTACACATAAAGCCGTGAAGTTGGAACAAAACCAATGTCATGGACTCATTCATGGGTTCATGGCTTGCACACAATTGTACGACAGCCGTACCTAATCCCGCGTTCCAAAAACAAAGGACTTTGTAAATCATTACTTTTCTGTTTGATCCTCCATCTTGTCTGTAATTTTTCATTACTGAATTCCTATAAGATCTGAAACTTGATATGGAAGCACAATGATTTTGAGCATCCATTGTTTTGGGGTTTGGTCATCTCACTAATTGGATACGATCCAGCAAAGCAAGCTGCAAATAGTAGTGTGCATGTAGGTGGAGAATTTTAAGTAGCTATATAAAAGAGTATCAATTTGGTCCCATAGAAAGAAAAAAAATTCAGGAAAATTTCTAGATATAAGAAACTTCAAGTATGCATGTGCGATGTCCGAGGGTAAGTGGAGATCATGAGTTCGAATCATGCATATGTATGATGTATTAGGAAAAAGGAGAGAATAAAAATCATATTATTTCGAAAGTCAAAATTCTGTCGATAAGATTTAATAATATAACTGAGTGAAAATGAAAGCATTCAACTCTTCAACATGTTGAATTATTATTTAATTTTGAGAAGATATCTATTTTGATTGGAGTTACACTATTTTCACCCCTTTCAAATTAATCTCCCCACAACCTATGGTTAACATTTGAATGTCCACAGCCATGGCTATAGGCGCCATCCATCATCCATGTCCATTTGAGAATGACCATTTTGTCTAGTTTTATGTGGTACCCTCTCTTCTTCTGGAGGAGTTCATGAATTCAAATTTCATAGACAATAGTTGTTAATAAAAATAAACGAGAAAATAAAAAAAAAGATTATTGATAAACTGCTTTCGAAAATGATGTAGCTCTCATATATTCTTCTTTCCTATCCTTATTATTCTTGAGTGCCTGTCTTCATTTTTTTTTTCCTAATCTAAATCAATGAAGACTTTATATATAGTGTGGCTAACCTTTCATAATTCCGAAATCTTATTTCATCTTGAGTGATAAAGACAGGATGGAGGCGATTTTTATTTGTGAAATTAGACGAAAAAATAAATAAAGGCTTTTTATCACGAATGGTCCCTGAGGTTTGTGAAATTATCGCCTTTCATCCTTAACCTTTTTTTGTGACACTAATGGTCCTTAAGGTTACCCTATGCACATCAAAATGGTCCTTCCGTTAGCTTCCGTCAAATTTTCTGTTAAAATGTTGATGTGGCACATATATGAAACCACATATCCAATAGAATAGAGCCATGTGGCTTTAAATAAAAGGTATAATATTATATTAAAAAGAAAATTAAATTTTTCTTGAAAATAAGTATTAACACTTTGAAAAATGAAAAAAACAAACAAACAAATGACCTCCAAGTTCTACCACCAGCCACCTCCCATGATCCCACCCAGCCAACCCCCATCCTACCTTCCTCCGACTGACAGCCAGCCAAACCAGCGCAAACCCACTACCACCGCCGCTCTCCTCTCCAACACAACCAAACTCCACCTTGCCTAGATTAGCGCGAGTTGAGTCGCTCGAGTTGCTGCTTTCATTTTCAACTTACCCAATTTCAACAGAGATGAAAATTGGGCAGCAAATATTACCAAAAAGAAAGACAAGAAAAAAGGGCAGCAACATCACCTTTCAAGATGCCAAGATGGACAATTCAAAATGCAAATTTCAAAACAAATGTCCCGTATTATCAAACCAATTAGCTAGAATTTGAAAATTTATTCAAATTAAAAGGCTCGAATTCAAATTTCAGATACATATCAAGACACCCATGGATCTGGTGAAGAGGGAGATCCACAGTTGGGATGTGTCGGATAGGAGAGAGAGAGAGAGAGGGGCTGGGGCTGTGCTTTTTTGAGGGAAGAGAGAGATGAGCGGGGTTTGAGACAGAGAGAACACCCAACCCAGATGTAAGACAGAGAGAAAGATAGGGGTGCCGGAAGGGAGGTGCTGCAGGGATGGGTGTGGGGTGTCAGGGCTCAGAGGATAGGGGTGGCGCTGGCCTTTGTGATTACTCCCTTTTTTTTTCTTCTTCTTCTTCAATTCTCTGGTTGTTCGTTCGTGTTGATTTTTTTTCATCTCTCTCTCTCTCTCTCAAATCTGTGCGATTTGGGGAGTTCAATTATTCTTTCCTTCTTTTAATATTATTTTATTAATTTTTTTTTTATGTTTTAGTTTTTAAATACTTTTAAATATTTTATTAATATATTATTGGATGTGTGGCCCCATATATATGCCACATCAGCATTTTAACAGAAAGATTTACGGAAGTTAACGGTAGGGACCATTTTGATGTGCATAGTGTAATCTTAAGGACCATAAGTGTCACAAAAAAAGGTTAAGGACGAAAGGCGATAATTTAGCAAACCTCAGGGATCATTCGTGATAAAAAGCCATAAATAAATGCTATTTGATGGAAAATTAACATGTTCTTTTAGAGGGTGAAAGATAATGAGATTTTCAAGATTGAGAAATGGCTTTTTGTGAAAGACTCGAGAATTTTCTATGCAATGAAAAGAAAGAAAGGTTAGCAATTAAGAGGTTTATTGTTGAACTAAACATTAAACATATACAAAGGGCCTTTTTAGTTGATACTTGTTCGACAAGATAATATATAAACCCCTCATAGCATAGCACCTTGGTAGTGTGTGTGTGTGAGAAATCCCCCTCCAACTGTAATTTAGACTATCATTTGTATTAGAAAAACGACATTGCTTCAAAATCAATCGTGGACGTTTTATTATTAAATATTGACGTAAATTAACAATCTAATAACGTAATATTGTTTCGCAAAATAGAACCCTATATCCTATGTAATTATGTATATAAGAGCAAACTAGTACGTACGGATGCATGAGGTATCTGACTCTTGCTAAATTGCAAAACCGACTTGGATGTTATTTTCTCATCATTTGGCTCTATGTTTTCATCTCATAGCTACAGAGAGAGAGAGAGAGAGCGAGCACCATGGCCGGTCAAGAATTGTCACTACTTACTTACAAATGGAGCTTTCGATCCCAAACATGAATCCAAATTCATATTTGACTACGTCTTCACAATAGATATTTCTATTTATATTTTATCTCTTGCATTATGTATAAAGATAAATGAAAACATTCAACAGGCGATTTTGTAATTAAGCATAAGTGAGATTAAGAAAGGTCCTTAACTAGGTTTAAAAAAAATTATAATTATCCGTTTTGTATGAAATTTTGGACACAAAAATAATGCTAATGGAAGCTGTTATGTGTGAATGCCAAAAAGGCTTGTTTAGGTGAGAATTGCTCAGTGGGGAGGTCAAATGGGCACGTGACCTTTTACAATTGGTGCAACTGCCATGATGTTTTAGCTTTCACTTTTTTGACTTTTTACACGATCGTTCGTGCATGTCATGCTATTGAGAACGCAACCCTAAAATGGCTTTTTAATTTGCAACTTTTACTTTTTTCTTTTACTTCAATTGGATATATAAAAAGGCTTTTTTTTTTTCAACAAAAATCCTTCCTTGTAATTCTTGTCTAATTACATCAATTTATACATATATTATATACAATTTGTACGAGTTGGTAGCTGGCAGTTTACCATTTTTCTTCTAAGTGGGGCTAATTTCCCAACAGAATTGAGTGGGGCTAATTTCCAATAGCGTAAGGACTATCATGTATGAAAAAACACCATTGTATTTCTATAAACAGAATTGCCGTTTCTATTAATGTAAAATACAAATGTTCGGGTCCGAATAATCGTGATCGTATTTGTAGTATCTATGGATTAAAGCACATCTATCTAATCTAAGATTTAGAAAATCAATCATTTGTGTTAGAGCTCTTCGTTTTTCATGCTATGCTTAGGAGAAGTAATGAAAAATAATTGATAGCCGGCAGCAGAGGAAATATTATAGATATTCAATTGGATATTATGTGGATCTTCCGTTCTGATCAGAAAATAATAACCGTCCGATGTGCAC